AATCATTTTGTTTGAATTTTGGGAATAATTCATATATAGGGCAAAAATCACGTGCTCACACATCTTAGCAATCTAGGTCTAGCATCTTTCTTTGTTAATAGATACTTTAAGGCTGCATGATCAGTGAATATTGTAACCTTTGTTCCTATCAAATAAGAACGAAATTTGTCAAATGCAAATATTACTGCCAATAACTCTTTCTCGGTTGTTGTATAATTCATTTTAGCTTCATTGAGGGTTCTGCTGGCATAGTATATGGGTCTAAAGATCTTATTTTTCTTTTGCCCCAATATCGTTCCTACTGCTATATCACTTGCATCACACATTATTTCAAATGGCTGGCTCCAATCAGGAGAGACAACAATTGGAGCATTAGTCTATTGTTCTTTGAGAAACTCAAATGCTTTTCTGCAATCATCTGAAAATTCAAATTTCACATCTTTCATCAGTAGGTTAGTCAGAGGTTTTGAAATTTTTGAAAAGTCTTTTATAAACCTTCTATAAAAACCTGCATGCCCTAAGAAACTTCTAATACCTTTAACAATGGTGGGAGGGGGTAATCCTACTATAAGATCAATTTTAGCTTTATCAACTTCTATTCCTTTAGCAGTGATTTTATGTCCTAAAACAATTCCCTCTGTTACCATAAAGTGACACTTTTTCCAGTTAAGAACTAGATTTGTCTCTTCACATCTTTTAAGCAACAAAGTTAAATGATAGAGACAATCTTCAAATGTCTTACCAAAAAGTGTGAAATCATCCATGAAAATTTCAAGAAACTTTTCAGTCATATCTAAGAAAATTGCCGACATGCAACACTGAAATGTAGTTGGAGCTTTACATAGTCCAAATGACATTCTTCTATAAGCATACGTACCTTGGGGGCATGTGAATGTGGTTTTCTCCTGATCTTCTGGAGCAATTGGTATCTGATTATACCCAGAATATCCGTCAAGAAAATAATAAAATCTATGGCCTGTAATTCTTTCAAGCATTTGGTCAATAAAAGGCAAAGGAAAATGATCTTTCCTCGTGGCATCATTAAGTCGTCTGTAATCTATACAGACTCTCCATCCTGTGACCGTTCTAGTACGTATGAGTTCATTATTTTCATTTTTTATTACGGTCATACCTCCTTTCTTTGGTATTACATGTATAGGACTTACCCAAGGGCTATCAGATATTGGATAAATGATACCTGCCGCTAGAAGTTTCACTATTTCTTTCTTGACAACTTCTTGCATTGCTGGATTCAATCTCCTTTGGGGTTGGACTATAGGTTTGTAATTTTCTTCCATGAGGATCCTATGCATACAAATAGCTGGATTGATTCCTTTTATGTCAGCTATAGTCCACCCTAAAGCTCTTTTATGCTTCCTCAAGACTTCTATCAGTTTGTATTCCTGCTCTGGAGTCAAAGAAGATGAAATGATTACTGGAAATAATTCAGGTTCAAGAAAAACATATTTTAAATGAGAAGGAAGTTTTTTGAGTTCAATTTTTTATTGAACTTCTTCTTGTGAGACTTTCTCATTTTCTGAATCTTTTTCCAGTGTTTCAGCTTCTTCTCTGATTGTGGGATTTTCATCACTTGTGGTCCCTGACCTGACCAAACATCTTTCCAATGAATCAGTAATTAATTGATTATCCTTGAATTCATCTACAAGGTCATCTAGTAAGTCAATTTGAAAACAAGATGATGATGACTCATTCTCAGGAAATTTTATCATTTTCTGCATATCAAAAATTACTCTCTCCTCATCAACTCGCAATATTAATTGTCCTTGATGAACATCAATGATCGCTCTTCCTGTTGCGAGAAATGGTCTACCTAAAATTAATGGTACCTCAGTATTTTCTTCCATTTCAAGTACAATGAAATCTACTGGGAATACAAATTTATCTACTCTAACGAGAACATTTTCAATTATTCCTTTGGGCCTTTTAGTACTTTGATCAGCTAACTGAAGAGATACACAAGTATCTTTCATTTCACCAAATTTCCTGAAAATTGAGAAAGACATTAGATTTATTGAAGCACCCAAATCACATAATGCTTTTTCAAAGTGAGCATCTCCCACAGTATAAGGAATTGTAAAACTCTCTGGATCGCCAAGCTTCTGTGGAAGCTTATTTTGAAGTATAGCACTACATTTCTCTGTAAGCTTAACAACTGAAACTTCTTCCAATTTTCTTTTACTTGACAAAATTTCTTTGAGAAAATTAGCATATGATGGCATTTGTATCAAAGCTTCTGTGAAAGGTATGTTAATATAAAGTTGTTTTAAAATATCTAGAAACTTTGAAAATTGTTTGGCAAGATTTTCTCTTTTCATTTTTTGGGGAAACGGGAGGGGTATAGAGTGAGGATTTGTCTTCAGTTAATTTTTTTGTACCTTTTTTCTTTTTCTTTTTGTTCTTTTAGAAGTTCAGAGTCTCTTTTATTCTCACCTTCATATACCTGTTCCACTTCTTGTGGTTTTCCTTGTCTATCTGCATATGGATCATCAAGAGTTTTACCTGACCGCAGAGAGATGGCTTTGAGGTGTTCCTTTGGATTTTTTTCGGTGTTGCTTCGTAGAGCACTTTTTATTTGTTCAGATATGAGGGTTGCTAATTGGCTCATCTGAATTTCTAAATTCTTGATGGCTGAACTTTGACTTTCAACCTTCTCATCAGTAGCCTTAATGAATTTGTACATCATGTCTTCGAGGCTTTGCTGATGAGCTTTCTGGGGTGGTTGTTGATATTTATGAAAATCTTGTTGCTCTCTGTTTTGATTTTGAAAACCAGGTGGTCCCTGTATCTGCTGCTTTTGATTGAAATTTTTTTGAGGATTTTCAGCACCATTTGGGTTACTCCATTGGAATCCAGGATGTTTTTGTGCCATTGGACTATTGAATGGATAACAGTTTCTATATCCAATACTATTTACTTGTCCTTCATTTTGCGTTGAAGCTTGACATTCATGATTGGGATGATTGCCTCCACAAACGTCACAATTCTCATGTTGAGATGATGATTGAGTATTTACCTGAAATGCCTCAACTTTTTGTGTTAGAGTTGCAATTTGTTGCGCTAATGAATTCCAAGCTTCAACTTGATTGACTCTTGCTGCTTTCTTAACAATCATTCTGTCAAAGGGCCATGGAACAACATTTTCTAAAATTTCATTGAGCAATTGCATGGCTTTCGCAGTAGTTTTGCTCATTATGGGTCCTCCTGATGCTGCATCAATAACATTTCTAGCAGAGGGTTTAAGACCATGATAAAAAATATATAAAATGTCAGGATATTGGATACTATAGTGTGGGCATTTTCTTAGCATTGATTTTAATCGTTCCCATGCTTGGTATACAGATTCAGTATTTGTTTGCACAAAATTATTGATTTCTTGCTTCATTTTAAATGTTTTTGCAAGTGAAAAATATTTATTAAGAAATTTCTGAGTCATTTGGTCTCATGTAGTGATTGAACCTCTTGGAAGACTTCGCAACCATATTTTGGCTTCATTTTTTAAAGAAAAAGGAAAAAGCCGCAACATGATAGCGTCTGTTATGACTCCATTATACCAGTAAGTTTCAACTAATTCAAGAAAATCAATTAGATGGGTGTGAGGATCTTCACTCGCATCACCAGTAAATTGGCACGACTGTTGAATAGTTTGAATCAAACCTGTGCGAATTTCAAAGTTATTTGCTGCAATTGGTGGTCTCCTTACACTTGATTCTCCTTCAAAATGATCTGGCCTTGCATAATCTCTTAGTATTCTATCACGTCGTGGTGCCACTTCATCGAACTATTCTTCTACTTGATGTGGCGGGAGTTGGTTGTTGTTGTTAAGTTCTTCGTTCTCCATTTTATCTTGTGAAGAAATTTGAGATTGTAAAACTTGTCCTTTTCGCAACAACCGCGAAGATTTTTCAATTTCAGGATCGTATTCAACTAGTTCTCTCGAGGAGGAACGGGTCATACACTTCTTGAAATTTTTGCATAAAAGTCAAAATAATTAAAAACAAAAATCTCAAATTAGTAATAAAACAATTAATTTGTAGTAGATTTTGCCAATCCCCGGCAACAACGCCAAAAATTTGACGAGTGTCTGGCGTATATTATTTAAACTCGTACTCTGTCAAATTGTAGTATAGAAAGATGTCGAACCCACAGAGATTGGTTTATCTATTCTACAGACGTTTCTTGTTTTAATTACTATTTAAGAAAATCCGAAAGAGTTGAGTTGTGAATTAACTAACTAAAAATGCACGAATAAAACAATAGAAAATATTTTGTTTTTCACAAATATAATAAAAGATGTTGGGATCTTGACTTCACTTAATATTTCTATTATATAATAGAATTATTATTCTTCAATTTCTATTTCTCAAAAATGTATAAATGCCTCTCACGATTACAAATATATATTATTACTTAAGTTGAATAATTAATCGCACTCCTTTCGGTTATACAAATTAATCTTCAAACTAGTAATATTAAAGAACCAGCAATATATGATTGAACTAAAACACGCTCTTGTTAGTAAGTCCCTTTCGGTTACCCTACTTGTTATAACTTATTATTACACTATTCGCCTCTCTCGATTACAAATAAGTATAAAATTAATTATAACATAAAATAGATAGATGTTACTTAATAAATATTAATATTTATCAATACTACACTTAACTATATTATTTTCTTCCGACTCTCTCGATTACAGAATTAATAAATAGTTAATATGTAATACAAGATGGTAGGTGTTAATAAATTAAATAACTTCTAACTGTAAAAGCAGATAAAAGTTAAATAAATTCTAGCTCAAGCATGTGAATTTGAGGAATAATATCAACTATTATATAGAAATATTAAGATCCGTCTTTCTCCCAACACAAGAAAAGTTACTCCATACTGGAGCTAATATTGCTAATGAAAATATTCGTGTCCATTAGATAAGAAAATAGAAAGAAATATTCAGAAAGAATAATTCCCCCTATTTAATTAAAAGCATGATATAGAGTAATTTTCAAAGCTAATGTTTCTTAGGAACTAGAAATAAAAGCTGTTGTAATGACTGGATGAAAATTCAAAGAACTGAACAACTGACTGAAATACAAAGGAAAGACACTGAAATGGATTTTTGTTGTCTGCTGAGCTACCCCCTCTCCTTCTTCATCGTATGCTTTTATAATCAACCAAAACAAGTTGGTTTGGTTATAATCACTTGTTTTGGTTATGAAAGATTCTTTTATTTTTTGAATCTGGTTACGATCACTTTGTTGTGGTAGATGGATTTTATGCAGTCCGTATTTTGTCGTAGCTTGTTTCCCTTTTTTTCTTCTTCTTCTTCTTAAAGTTTTATTGCTTGTGCACCAATTCTTCTCGTAGCATTTCCTGCGCAATCAAATTAAATTTGTGAAAGAAACATGATAATTTTTATACTTTTGCGAGGAAAGTGATATATTAAAATAAGGTAAAATGTACTTATCAAGCTCACGATCGATAGAGAAAACTTAGCGAAAAGGATTCTGACAATAGGAAAAATCATAACCTTAGATCATTCCAAATCTTGTCTACAACTTGTTCGTAGTTAGTTATTAATTACTGCATTTTCACTACGTGATATTTAATTAGTAAATATCCAATTTGTTATTTAAATATTTCTGAAGATTGATTGCGCGAATTTGTGCGAGTCTAGTAGTTGTGCTTAATAGGTTAATTTTCCGTGGGAATCGACTCCGGACTTGTTAACCGAAATATATTTGCAACGACCGCTTAGTCTTTTTTATAAGGCATAGTTGGGTATGATCAGTTTGCCATTCTGAATATGTTTTTGTTGTAAGATATATGTTCAATGTGTAATCCAAATGCCTTAATGCTTTATCATGTTATCTTATCAATTGAGGAAAAATATGGAATATATGTTAAACGGTTAGGACTTCAAGTCAAATTCAAATAATGATTGTTATGCCAAAGTGTATAAAAACCCTCTATGTGCTTAGGATTCCCAAATTGCTCATATGTGTACTAATGTCTTAAATGATAGGCCTTTGTGTTGTTGTTGATGATAATAATGTTGAATGTAAACGAGGAATTTGGAATTGTGATATTCGGCAAAATGCCAAGAATGACTTTATAAATGAGGCCATTTCGTACCAATGTATTGAAAAGACGGGAAAGAAATATGAAGTGAGATGATTGATTGAAAAGATGATGTCTCAAATGAGATGGTCTAGCTGATCGGGTCGTGATCGGACGTCATGTCGTACATATGGTGGTAACTCTATTGGAAATTTAATTGGAATTGCAGTTGTGGTTGATGTCTCTTATGAGATGACCTAGCCGATCGGATCGTGATCGGACGCCATGCCGTACACATGGTGGTAACTGTGCTAGAAATGGTAATTGAAATTGTGGATATGGTTGATGTCTCAAATGAAATGACCTAACCGATCGGATTGAGATCGGACTCCGTATAAGAACACAATGATATTGTGGATTGTGGCATATCGGCGCTAAAGTTTCCCCAACCTAATAAGATGGAAATTGACTTGAGAACTTATGTGATCCTTACTTGATGTGTTAGTATTGTTTGAAGCTCTTATTGAACTCATGACTGTTTCCCCCTGTACTAGTGTTCATTTTATTGAGATATTGTTTTAGCTTTACATACTAGTACTATTCGACAATACAAATGTCCCTTTTGCCGGAGGTGCTGCACCTTTAAATGGATGCAGGTGGTTCCATAGCAGACAATGTTGATCACATATAGTGGTGCATCCTCTTCCCAGCAGACTCAGTGAGCCCCATTTCATCCCGGGGTCATGTATTGTATCTTTTGTTCATATTTTACCACGTTTTGAGGTATAGCCGATGCCTTGTTGCCGACATTATCATAATTTTCTTTTGTATCTTTAGAGGCTCCGTAGACACTATGGGGTTTGCATATGGGTGTTAGAAAGGTCAAACGAGTTATATGGTGTTTGGACCCTTATTCCACTTAATCATAAGGATGTGTGTATTATGAAACTTAACAACGATGTAACTAATGAAATAATTTAGTAATGTATATATATGATCTTCCTATTGTCTAACTAATCAAAATATGCCCTCTCTTGATCATAAGTGAGTCGAGTAGAGAGTCTAAAAGGCTTGCTTGACCGGGTCCACTCGGTTGAGCACCGGTCGCACTTTCCGAAGTTGGGGCGTGACAGATTCATAATGTATCGCATAGTATTGTATTCTATTGTATGTGTTGTATCATTTTGATGTATATAATATTTGGATAGATTGTATTGTTTTCCGTCATTTCATGATGTCATGCACCAACAATATAAAGAAAAAACTTACAATATTATAAAAAAATTAAGGTACGAGGTAGAATTATTATATAAAAAAGTAGGTCAAAAGATAAAAAGAATTATTTAACAATAAGGAAGGGCAAGATGAGAGGAAAAAAAAAGGTAACGATGTGACCACACCAAATCGGTCGTTTTCTAAAGTGACACTTTTCATCATTACGTAACGACGAATTTAATGATACAATACAATAAAATTTAAGTAATAATAAAAAAATATTATATTTAAAGTAACAATACAATACAATGCAACGGTAACAACCATCCAAACAAGGAAGCCGAGGAGGAAGAGGAGCGGTCTAAAGTTTGTCAAACTATTTGCTAAACTTTAAATAGCTTTTAAAGGAATTGACTAAATCTTAAATAGAGTATCTAAAAGCGGTTACATGGTGTTATTTCTACAATTATAGAAGCCAGATGCTGTGGGCTCAGGATACGCCCCAAAGCATTCTTAGAGCCCAACTTCCTCTAGCAGCCCAAACCCAGAGCTAATTTATGGATAGGTTAGGGTTTTATTAGGCTGTTGTGTGCGGCTTGTCCTCATCAGCAACATAACAAACAACAGTCTGAAGTCGGAGTCCTCTGTCACTCAGCAAACATGGGGTAAACTTTCTTCTTCTTTTTCCTCCATTTTTTTCCATTTCGATATACGTATTGCAATTATAACCACTATATATTACTTCCATTTGAACTTTCTCATTTGCTATAATTTGCTAGTGGCGCTATTATGGAAGTAAACAGTAAAAGGGAGTTTCTTTTTGTTTGTTATGGGATTCTGATACTATATGCTCGATTTGAACTCTTAATTGTTGTTAATTGCATCGAATGAATTATCTAAGGGAATGATTTCACGTGGATTGTTCTATTTTCCCTGCAAACTGATGGTAATGGTAGATATGGTGAGTGTTTAAGTACGTTAGATCTGTGCAGGGACCAAAAATTGGCAGATTTAATTTGGCATCAAATGTTCAGAATGAGCTAGGGGGCAGGATTATGATATAGTCACACCAGGGAAATCGCAGTAATGTTACAACTGATAAAAAATTTAACA